CCTAGGAGATTTCATTGCACTTTTCATATGTGTACCTGGCGCTTTCAATGAATATTTCATTTTTAGTGGCAGCTGACCTTTCAGGGTCCAGGGTGCATTTCCAAATGTAAAATGGCAATAAAATCAGGAAAAATTAGGGCTCAATGCTGATCATCATGTTGGGTAACATTGTCAGGGTCCAGGGTCCAGTTCCAAATATGGTAATATATCCAAAAATAGCCAGAAAAATAGCAGAAAAAGTGAATATATATAAAAATGGTGTACAGAACGTCAGGCACTGCCTTCAGGGTCCACTTCAGGTTCCATCCTAAAAGGGAAATATCACCTGGTTTGACCAAAAAGTGAAGAAAACCAAGCGGAGAATGATTTTACCTATCAGGGTCCATGTAATGGGATGTTGGGATGATGGTCACATGACCAATTACCAAAAATGGTCAAAAAACAAAGGTTGTAGCCCTACACTGTAGCTTCCTGAATCTGTTCAAATTATGTTCTGAAGTGCTCCCGTTGTGGAGATATGAGGTAAAGGAATCCCAAAAGTGTCGTGTTTTTTTTTGTTTTTTGCATTTTTCTCCATGAAAACAAAACCAAACAATATGATTTCAGTATATTTAGAAAGCTAAAAGAAAGGGCTACAACTATTGTATCATGGGGAAAATGACCAAAAAAGGAAGGTGCGTGCCCTAGAAAAGGAATGGTCAGATATAGACTACCAAGTTTACTGATAGACTACAAAAAAGTCAGACTCAACTACAAAGTTTACTGATACACTACATAAGACTACAAAAGTCAGACATAGACTACAAATTTTACTGATACACTACAAAAGACTACAAAAGTCGGACTTAGACTACAAGGTTAGGGTTAGGGCTAAAAGGTTATCCAAAGTCAACCTAGCCCATCCATCCCATACATGGCACATATTTGATGGGGAAATGGCTGGGGAATATACAGATACATTGCTGGGACTCTATTCCATGTCTAGTTTGAGGAATCATATGCAAAAGAGAGCATGAGAGCCTTTAGAAAAGGCACTTTTTTAGACTACAAAAATTTGTAGTGTCTGCTTTTGTCATCAGAAAAGTTTGTAGTGTCCGCTTTTTAGACTCAAAAGTTT